AAAGAGGTAACTTGGACTGAAGTGAAGATGCAGCAGCAGGCCGAATGCACCGTGCATTGCTTTTTGTCTTAGTCCCTTCTCCAGCTAGCATCTACTCTTTCACATCCTCACACCTCTCTTCCTCTTCCTTGCCATCCCTTCTCCCCTCACCTCCAGCACTCATGGGAGGCAGTGGTTGCAGCAACCGCAGGATGATGGCTGCAAGCACACAAGCACTTGTGAGTCAAGTAGACCAGCTCAAGCAGTTTACTACTCCTCTATCCACCGTCTTCCTGCTTTCTGTGTTCCGTTCCATCTTGTCTACTATTCTCCCACGGTTCCCAGAGTCTATGCTGCTGTGCTGCCATGCTTTCATGCCACTCTTCTCAGCTCCCAAACCTCTCCTTTCCTGTCCTCTCCTCTTCTCGGCAGCAACACGTGGTGGACGCAACGAGAGCAACCTGGAGCACGGGCAGCAGCAGGGCGCTGCTTGGGGCAAAGGCTTGGCGCAAGAGAAACAGAGCAGCATAGAGCAGCACACAGGCGTGGCGTGGTGCGGGAGGCAGAGCGGCCGAGCGGCAAAGCGGCAGACGGAGGAGCGTGGTACGTGCCAGGGAGTGCGTGCAGGGGGGACGTGAACTGTCGTAGGGTGTCGCCGAGCAGAGGCAAGAGTCGTGTCTGTTGCTTGCGGGTCCACCACTCGCCAGCTGCTCCTTCTAACCCGCTTCTGTATGTGTGTGTGTCTCTCTCCCCATGTGTGTGTGTCCCTCTCTCCCTGTGTGTATGTGTGCTGTTGTGCCAACACATTACAGTGGCACGGTCATCGCACTCCCATTCGGCCTACAAGCCTGCTCAGCTTCTGGAATTTGGTGGGGAGGTTTTTCAACATGTGTTCTTCAAACCCTCAAAGTTTCAGAGTTTTTGAAGCAGTTACCAAGGCATGACAACATTTTATGTTTCAAGACTTATGGCATCCCGGAAGTGTGTGTTACTCCTTTTTGGTAACACCCGAGTTCACCATTTCGGCTGCTGACTCGTCTACCAAGATTTGATTGGTCTGAAATTTGGTCTGGAAGTCCTTTGCCGCGCTGTGCAGTTGGTCACCAAGTTTCAGAACGATCCAACATCTGAGCATTGCGTGACAGCTGCCGAAATTCACTGTTCCATAATCATGGTGCACTGTTGGCAGCATTTCCCTTGCCACCCTTTCATTGTTGTCATGCCAATGGTGCAGGGACAGAGAATGAGACAAGAAGTACAGGTGGTCAAGTGGGACTCTACAGCCCTCCTTTTGAGAAGTGTGGTCTTCCTGGAACCAGCTTGCAAGAGGGTGCAAGTGGGAAGACAAGCTGACTCATGGTTCGCTTAACTCACAATTGGTTGCCTTGAGTACAGCTCTGAACATCCATGTGTGGTTGGCTTTGCTGACCTAGCTAGGACGTTTCCCATCCTTCTCTAGAATTTCTCCCCTATGACTCAACCTTCTCTGAGTTCCCAGGATGACCTAACCCCTTATGAGTCCCCTAGGCAATGTTGTACTCACCTCTTCCTTGCATCAATGAGAATACACGTTTTTCAGCCGAGCTTACGTTTTCATTCACAGCGTAGCGCATACACCTCTGGTGAAAGCAAGCAATACACCGTTGGAAAGCAGACACATAAGGCTATCTGCTGTCTTTTTTTCAGCCTCATGTGTTATCGGAGCTGATCGTGACGGCGTTTTGAACAGAGGCGGTTTGAAGACGTCTGATTCTGCTTAGGCGGTTTTATGGGCATCCGCGACCTCTAAGTGGACTCTTGACTATAACAAGTGGTATCAGAGCTATTCTACTCTGTTCTTGGGTGAATATGGAGGCTGGAGGTTCTGCTCCAGCTGGTCCCAGTGGCAGTGGTGGCGTGAGAGGCGCTGGGGAAGCAGGAAGAGGCGTTGCAGGCGGATCTGCACCAATGGCTTCCGTTTCAACATCAGCTAAGGATGATGTGAAGGCATTCAACTTGGAGAAGTTCTCTGGGGAGGATTGGGCATCATGGAGCTTCAGGATGGAGCTCCTCTTCAACCATTATGGGCTGCTTGAAGTGATGGATGGAGAATTGAAGAGGCATGTGAGCGAAGGAGCGACCAAAGTCTTTGCTTCTATGCTGCCATGTTTTCATGCCACTCTTCTCAGCTCCCAAACCTCTCCTTTCCTGTCCTCGCCTTGCCTCGTCTCTGCAGCAACACGTGGTGGACGCAACGAGAGCAACAACTGCAGCAGCAGCACCAACGGAGCAACACGTGGGGCACGTGCCAGCACGTGGACGCCTGAAGTGAAGGCATGGCCCAACACTGGGAGAGCAGCGGACAGATCATGGTACGTGCCAGGGGGTGCTTGCAGGGGGGCCATGAATTGAGTCGTAGGGTGTCGCCGCGCAGAGGCAAGTGTCGTGTCTGCTGTTCTTGTCTCTGCCACTCGTGTCTTCTCTTGTTTCGCCTAACCCTCCCTTCTGTGTGTTTGTCTTGTCTTCCCATGATTGTGAGGGCGGGGGGGGGGGGGGGGGGGGGGGGGGAGGGGTGGAAGGGGAGGGGTGGAAGGAGGGGGGTGGGAGGGGTAGAGGAGGGGATGGGGTGGGGGGCCGGCTCCTGTCCTTGTTTGCGTGTGCGTGTGCATGCCTGTGAGTGTGTCTCTTAGGCTCCAAGCCTTGGAGTGCGTTGTGCATCGGTGGGATGGGGACAGCATTTCTGTTCCTTGTGCAAGACAAGAGTGAAGATGCAGCAGCAGGTGAGCGCATCCTCCATTGCGCCTTGTCTCACTCCCTTCTCCAGCTGCCATCTGCCATCTCTTCTGGCTTGTTGCTGCTCTTTCACGTCCTCAGCCCCTCATCCACTCGCTTCTCCTCTCCTTGCTCACGCCTCTCAGTCCTTGCCATCCTTCCTCCCCTCACCTCCAGCACTCAAAAGGGAAGAGGATGCGACAACTGCAGGATGGTGGCAAGCACATTGGCAGTGGTGGTGGCACCAGCAGTTGCAGCCTCAACGGCCATTGCAGTGGTTGCAGCTGCAGCAATGGAGGGGTAATTGCAGTCTACCCTATGCTTCCATGTTCCCTCTATATGTTTGCTGTTTAACATCGCTTGCGTTCTCGTCTAGACTCCAGTACCTTGCTCGTTTCCTGTCATCCTTCTCCTCAGCCCTCCCTCCCATCTTTCTTCATCCAAATATTATGGTGCCCTCGCCTCCCCTGCCTCTCCCTTCATCCACGTCCTTGTATCCTGCTGTTCTTCCGACTCGCAACAACTTGCGACCTTGTTTTTCTCCCCTCTCCACGTCCCATTGCTGTCCCTGGCAGCATCCGTGGGGGAAGAGTGGAGCAGCAGCAGTGCAGCGTATCTACATGGTGGGTGTGATGGGAGATTCTGCAAAGGGGAGTTGCTGGCCTTGTTATCGTACATTTCTCACTTGGTACTTGCCCTTCAATGGCGGTCTGACGTGAATGCAGTGCACAACTACCGGTAATCTTTGCCGTCTGATCATCTTCACTTCTGCAGCTTCTAAGTGCCTGCTCTTCCGTTTTTTTTCCTCTGCTCGTTCTGGCTCTGGCAACAGCTGTGCAGGAAGCAGTGGGAGCAGCAGCAGTGTATGGTAAGTGTGGATTATGCTCGCCCCTCACTTCCTGCTTGCTCTACAGTGGCGTTCCAAATATTCTTTGCACCTTCTGCTTACGTACCTTTGATTCAAACAGAAATGCGCCCTATGATTTACAAATGCTTCCAGCTACCTTGTTACAACCCCTCCCCTCTCTTCCGTTCCCCATTGCTTTCCCGTTTACAGCTCAGAGAATTCAACATGGCTCTGCGTTGGTGATGTGAAGGCGAGGAGAAGACTCTGGCTGCTGCTGTGCTCAGCAGAGGCAGACTGTTGGGTGTGTCTAGGTGTGTTCAGCATTGCTTAGGTGTGCTGTGCTCAGGTGTTACTGTGCTGGATGGGCCTGCATGTTGTAGAGCAGGTGGGTGGGGTGGGGAGCCTGGAAGGTGCCTGGGCACAAACAGCCAAGCAGGAGAGAAAGAGAGAGTGAGGTGGGAGCTGCCATGAGAGGCACGTGTACTGTGATGGGGAGCAAGCGAGGGGGCAGGGTACCCACCCACCTGAGCGGCATGCAGCTTGCATGCATATACAGAGCAAGCCACCACAAACCGGATCGGGGCCAGGCAAATCCTTCACACACAAGCAGGTATGGCATGGATTGGTCACATTTTGTGCAGTACGAGAAGGTCAGGGGTACGGTACATAACACACACTTATGATTGCAAATGCTGCAACAAGAAGAACAGTGACTGTGGGCAGCCATGCTACCAGGTACAGCGAGAGTATGGATGGGAACTATCCAATCTGACAGTTGCTGTTGAGCCGTATTCTTTGTGGGCTCTTCACCGTGTGAGGTGAGCCAACATCCGTGTCTGCACCCATAGTCGTCATGCCACAGCCACCAACCAACCAGCCAGCCAGCCAGCCAGCCAGCCAGCCCGCCTACGGTACTAGCCACAAATGTAACAAGCCAGCCGGTCTACCAGCTTACTGGTAGTTGTTCTTCAACAGCCTTTAACCAAGTTGAAACGTTTTGCCATCTTGCCACTTGCTACAGTCACATCTGCTACCTATTTGGTCCTACTGATAAAGCAATCTAGACAACACAGGTATGTACTGCTATGGTAGCATGAGTATTATAGACCCGTTTCATGCTAAATAATGGCATGGAGATTGGCAGAAACTGGGTGCGATGATGGCCTGACAATCATTCTTCATGGAATGCTGGCAATGACTCCTCATGACATGCTGCATCCACACACAATGACTATTGGAGTCTGCTCCTCCGCGTTTCCTGTATTCACACACCCAGCCACAGTCAGTTAACGACCAATCAGGAACGCCAAAAGCTTGCCTTCAGATGTCCAACTATGACAAGCACGCACGAGCATCACAGCATTCCTTACGGCACTGCACTGAACCTCTCACAACCTGCGTGTGTGCAGGCAGGGCAGCTCACCTGCTGGGTTAGGGAGCAGCGCTGTTGTGAGCCTCCCATGGTCCACCCCTGCTGATGCCTGCATGCCATGGGGCATGGGGGCATGGGCATGGTTCATGTGGCATGGGCATGGGTCATGTGGATGAGCATGGGGCATAAGAATATGCGCCAGAAGATATGGCAGTGGAGTATGGGCCTTGGGGCAAGAGCTATGGCATCACTCCTTCATTCCTCACACCACCAATGCATCCTGATGCTAAATCAGTGCCCCCTCCATCCAACATATTCACATGCATCACCGTCACGCCACACCCCAGCTTCATCCCTCTTCTCCTCTCGTAATTGTTCATCACCGCTCTGCACTGTTCAACACCCATGTAGGCACTCACAGCGAGGATCTGCACTTTCTTGAGGTCATTAACATCGACTATCGCCACGCCACACCCCAGCTTCGCACTCAGCCCATCCACCGTCTCCTGCGGTCGCAGCTGGTGGGCCAGCCGGGGAGAGGGCAGTGTGCAAGGCAGAGGGGTGTGGAAGGCAGGGGGGTGATGAAAGGTGGTAAGAGGGGAGAGTGCCAGTGACGCGGCTGTGAGTGAGTGTGGTGTACTTGCGAGGACTTATGAGGCGCCTCAGAAGGCGTACGTGTGTGGACAGGAGAGAGCAAGAGAGGAGAGTGCAAGAGAGGAGAGTGCAAGAGAGGAGAGTGCAAGAGAGGAGAGGCCACGCACAGGCCCGAGGGTGATGAACTGGTCGTAAGGAGGGAGAGTCCCCGTGACGTCGTCGATTAGCCGTGCCTGCTCCCCTGCCAGCTGGTAGAACACACCCCTCTTTCCCAGCAGCAGCCTCGCCAGTGCCGCCAGCAGCACCGCCACTATCACGCGCACCACCCCCACCACGTCGATAAGGGCCTGCAGCGCAGGGAAGGAGGGGGAAGGCGGAAGGAAGAAGGGTGTGAGTGTGTGTGGGTGGTGACTTTTGAGTCGACTCAGCAGTCACCTCATGCCAGTGCCGCCAGCAGCACCGCCACTATCACCCGCACCACCCCCACCACGTCCATAAGGGCCAGTTGGGAAGGGGACAGGGGAAGGGGAAAGGGGGAAGGGGACGGGGGAAGGGCATATGTGTGCGTGAGTGGGTGGTGACTTGTGAGTCGCCTCAAGAGTCACCTCGTGCCAGTGCTGCCAGTAGCACCGCCACTATCACCCGCTCCACCCCAACCACGCTGATTAGGGCTTGTTGCGAGGGGGACGGGGAACGGCATGCATTGGTGTGGGTGGTTTATGAGGGGAAGGGCCGGAGACCACTCGCACTGCCCCCACCAACCCCACAGCCCCATACCTCAATTTACCTGCATGCCACACGCAGTGGCGAGGGAGGAGGTGGGCAGGAAGCGGCGGCACGCCCAACGGGCCACTGGGCCCGCGCACAAGGAGTCTGGGTGGCGGAAGCGACCCTGCATGATAGCCAATGGGGTCTCGCCAAGTGTCACCACGTCGCCTGGTTGGAGATATGGCGCTGCGTAGCTGGTGCAGGCGGGCGGGATGGGATGGAGTCCGGTGCAGTGCGGTTCAGTGAAGTGAAGATGGTGCTGAGACTTGGGATGGAGTAGGATGTGGTGGGACGTGCGAGCGACAAACTGGCGTCACAAATGGCGGATAGGTCGAACTGATCAGACTAGAAAGACTAAACCGAATAAAATTGGCATACTTAGATGCGGGTAGTGTATGAATGGCAGTGAGAGTGAGCGTGGGGTTGCGAGTGAGAGTAAGCGTGGGGTTGCGAGTGAGAGTAAGCGTGGGGTTGCGAGTGAGAGTAGGCGTGGGGTTGCGAGTGAGAGTAGGCGTGGGGTTGCGAGTGAGAGTGAGCGTGGGGTTGCGAGTGAGAGTAGGCGTGGGGTTGCGAGTGAGAGGGCGAGGGGCGAGTCTCACTGTGGCCGCGCGTCTCACCGTCGCAGCGCGAGAAGCGGGTCGTCAAGGTGGCACAGCAGGTGCGTTGGGACCGCCAGCACTGATATGCCTGGTGCTATGCTGTTGGGGAGAGGGGGGGGACGGGAGGCAGTTGTGACGGTGTGGAGACAAGGTGAATGCGCATGGAAGGGGGGAGCGGTGGAGCAGAGGAGAGGATGAGTAGCGGCGAGGGTGAGTAGGGGCGAGGGAGAATAGGGATGACAGCAAGCATACCTGCGCCACTGAGGGGCATACCTGCGCCACTGAGGGGCATACCTGCGCCACTGAGGGGCGTGAGGAGCGGATGGGGGCGGGCAGGGGGGGAAGGCGAGGGGCAGGATGACGTGCTGCACCAATGGCAGGCTGCCATGTGGCCCGTACGCCGGGTAATGCACGTCCAGCCTGGCCGCCTGGTGGACGGAACGCGAGGAGAGATGGTGGGAGGGAGTGATAGAGGCGAGGAGAGGGGCGTGTGTGGTGCGGAGGGAGGGGGATGGTGGGTAAGAGTGAAGGAGGGAGTGATGGAAGGAAGGGGAGTGATGCGGTTCAGAGAGTGCACTTGAGAGCCACGAAAGATGAGCAGGAGAAGATTGAGGGAGAGCAGGGGAGGGTGGAGTGGGGGAGATGGGGCAGGCATGGGTTGCTCATACAAGCTCACACGTACGTAGGGGCTCATACAGGCATGGGAGATTGTCCTTGCTGGCTGCTTCCACTCTACAGCCTGCCTGCACTCAACCCCCTCCCTGCCAGGAAAAGGCCCGAGTGTCCCCGTCCCCACTCGGCTGGCTATTCTTTGAGTTTACTCTAAAGTCCACTGCTTGTACCTTGAGGTGCGAGAGTGCTGCTGCGTCGACTGAGTCTGCCGCCCGGATCTCAACAGTGACCTCCATGGCAGTGCCCTTGCCTGCCCGCGTGATGTACGCCGGCCAGTAGCCATCCGCTCGGGCGGCAGGCTTGCCGCCCGGATGGCGTGGAGCGATCTGGACTGGGCAGGCGGGCGGGCGGGCGGGGAGGTATAGGTGGAGTGAGTGAAAGACAAAGATAGCAGCTCAGGCTAAAGTGAATGGAGGAGGGGAGAGAGGAGTTGAGCTGGTGTCAAATGGGCAAAGGGAGCAAAACTGAGGGGGAGGAGGTCTGGTGGTGGAAAGGGTGGAGGTGCGAGGGAGAGTGGGGGAGAGTGAGAGAGTCTATGTGGAAGTGCGAGGGAGGGCAGGGATATAGTCTTTTTGGAAGTGCCGGGTCTGTGAGGAAGTGTGGGGGAGGCGAGCGAGTGCGAGGGAGTGTGAGGGAGTGTGAGGGAGTGTGAGAGAGTGTGAAGGATTGCAAGGGAGTGTGAGGGCGTGTGAGAGAGTGCGAGGGAGTGAGGCGGAGGGCGAGCACTGACAGAGACGTGAGTGGAGATGCCGTGGAGGGAGTGGGAGGAGAGCAGCACCACGCTCGCCGTCACATGTGGGATGAAAATCTCCTGCTTGCGCGTCGTGTTGTGGAAACTGCGCCGGGGGCGATGGGCAGGGGGGAAAGGCAGGGAAGAAACCTTCGAGTGGACTCAAAAGTCACCTTATGTGGAATGAAAGCTGGGAGAAAGTGGGAAGGGGAAAGGAAGGGGACGAGGGGGGAGGGAAAATGGGAGTGGGGGCGCAGAAGTGGTAGAGGAAAAGGGCAGGGGGGAGGAGAGGGGGAAGAGGCAGGGGCAGGGGGGGGTGGGAGCACAGCGAGGGGGCTTACTCCTTGCAGGCAGCACTCTGGGTGGGTTCCGGCTCTCGCCATCCATGGATTCCATGCTACAGGCTTGTCCCTTCCCTACCTACCCTGCTGAGGCTGGTCCATTGGTAAGTGTCTCTGCTGCACTGCTCTCACTCCATGGCAGCATCATCATCATCATCACCCAATGGTGTGGTGATGTCACGGCAGGGTTTCTCTCTTGACCCCTGCCCTGCCATCACACATCTGCCCACCATCGCTCGCCCCCCTTTCACCTCACTTAGTTGGTCATTTACGTTTACGTTTACGTACGTACGTGTACGGGTACGTACGTTTACGCGGCTGTTGGGTTGGAGGCCTAATTTACGGGCAGGTGAAAATTTTTCTGGCCTGCCCGGATATGTATATTTTCTCTATACTTTTCCCTCCTAATCATAATTTCCATCATACAGTGTAGATTTAGATTTGACTCGGCGAATTGGTTTGACTCGAAGTTGGGATTCGCCGAAACCAGTGAAGCTCGGCGGTGACGAAACTGCCGAGCGGGTGACATTCGCTTACCTTGCAAACGAAGCAATCGCAATCTGAGTCAAACTGTTCGCAATGTTCTATCGCGAACAGTTTGCACACATTCAAATCTGCCGACAGACTTAGCTATCGTAGTTCTGCCGCCTTAGTCGACATAGTACGTAGGGTAGTCGCCACACCATAGCGACCCTAGCTAGCAACCTTCCTGTTTCTTACATTACTACTTTGAAAAACGTCGCGCCGTTTTGCTAACACGCTAACAGAGCACAGGTCGTCGAAAGATTTTTTCTTTTTTAGTTTTTTCGGAAACCGTTTTCAAAGAAATTTCAACGCATATTTTTTTTTCTGACCTGCCCGGCGTACGTACACGTACGTACGCGTACGTACACGTAAACGTACATGTACGCGTACGTTAAGTGTACGTGGGCTGAAATGGCGTAAATGACCAACTTAGTCACCTCATGACCCCCATCGTCCCTCCCCATCAACCCCCGCCCCTCCCCCCCCCTCACCTCATGACCCCCACGAGGCGGTACAGCGACGGGCCTCTCTCCTCCCATTGCCAGCTGCCACGTGTCAACAGCAGCCCCCCTGGGACCTTGCCGCCCTGCAGTACACACACACGCACACATGTAGGCACATGCGGGGCCACACACAGAGGCTCTCACACGCATGTATGTACCCATGCACAGAAACACATGCTTACAAGACGAGGGCGTCAGTCATGTATGACGAGGGCGAGGGGAGTGGAAGGGATCTCAATCATGCCACTCCCCTCCTCTCGCAATCATGCCACTCCCCTCCACTCTCAATCATGCCACTCCCCTCCTCTCTCAATCATGCTACTCCCCTCCTCTCTCAATCATGCCACTCCCCTCCACTCTCAATCATGCCACTCCCCTCCACTCTCAATCATGCCACTCCCCTCCACTCTCAATCCGCCTCTCACGCCTTCCACTCCCCTCGCCCTCCTCATCTTGCCCTCCCTTCCTCACCCCATCCCTCCCTCGCTCCCATTCCCATCCCACCCTCCTCATCCCATCCCCTCCTTCATCTCTCTCCTCCCCTCCCCACCTGCACTGTCAGCAGCCGAGCCTTCTCCTGAGAAAGCCACCTCTCATTGCTTGCCACGTCATACGTCCCCGCTTCTTCCAATGCGCCGCCCCCCAATGCCGTCCGCTCCCGCGCCCCCTCCGCCGTCCCCACCTCCGCATTCCGCCACTCCGCGGGATCGCTAGCCCACGCCGCGCCCGCCGCAGACGCTGCCGCGAATCCCGGACGGAACAATCTATTTCGTTTTAATGTGACTGTGACTGTGTGCGATGGGATTCCCCCAAAGTTCCGGCGGGATGGGCGGAACGGAAGCGCTGCGAGTCCGCCATGGCGGAGCGGCGGCGGAACTCGGGCGCGCGGAGAAGAAAGGGGCGGCGGTAGCGCACGGGAGGGCGGAAGGGGGAGTGCGCGGTGAGCGAGGAGAGGTTGGGATGAAAGCTTAGAGGTCATCTCGCGTCGCCAGCCCGCCGTGAAGCATGGAGTGGGCGGTTGCGACCTTTGAGACAGTTCAAAAGCGAAGCGTGGAGTGGGCGTTGCGGTGTTCGCGAGCTTATGAGACAAGAAATGCGGATCTGTCATAAATATCAACAGTAATTACCAGACACTAATGTGTTCGAAGAGTTTCATCCTCTCTACTACGGTACTCTTGGTTGCGGTGGAGAGTGGTGTTGCTGGAGCTGTGAAGTTATGGAACCAGGTATTGTAAGGCACTAGTTAAGTAATCTAAGGTGTATTTGTTATCGGACTAAAAAATGGAACCATATATTTTTATGCACTAGTCAAGTGATCTGGGCCCTTCAGCCCCCTCTTTTGTTACCGTGACATTTTGCGAATGGTCATGGAAACAAGTCCATCTTTAGACATGGAAGTGGATAGATGTCATGTCCCTTGCTACAGTTACATGTTCCAGTTGGAATAAGAGAGCTTCAATATATAACCACAGATAAACATGGTTCACGACAATACAGTACGAGTATAAGAATGTTCTGCAACGGTAGCACTGAACACTAGCATGCACAGTATTGTGACGGGAGCATGAGTCTGATGTGCTGGCAATCATTCCTCATGGCTTGCTGCATCCACGCACGATGACAATTGGTGTCTGCTGATCCGCATTCCCTGCATTCACACACCCACCACCCAGGTATTAGAGTGAGTGGCAAAGTGAGTCAACTCACAATCAACAGCAGAGCCAATCAACAACGAATCATGAACGCCACTCACCGATGCATGTACCCAGAGCTTTCCAACACCTGCCCAACTCTGCCCACCTGACAGGTGCTCACCAGCATCGCAGCCTCAGAAAACATTCCCTCCGCACCGCACTGAACCCCTCACAACCTTGACTGTGTGCGGGCAGGGCAGCAGCTCACCTGCTGGGTTGGGCAGCAGCGCTGTTGTGAGCCTCCCATGGTCCACCCCTGCTGACGCCTGCACGCCATAGCGCATGGGGCATGAGGGCATGGGGGCATGGGGTATGGGGGCATGGGGCATGGAGGCATGAGAATATGGGGCAAAAGGTATGTGAATTGGATGGAATATGGGCCATGCGGTATTGATCTAGAGGAGATGGGGCATGGGGCATGGGGCAAGGGGCATGGAGCATGGAGCATGGGGCATGGTGCAAGGTGCATGGTGCATGGGGCATGGACCACAGTGAAGGTCGGTCGGTGCTCCCTTGAGTTAATTCACAAACGCCACATCTATGCACAGCCCAGCTTCATCCAGCTTCACGTCCACCACTCTCCACCGCTCACCACCCACGCAAGTGTGGCAGCACTCACGGCGAGGATCTTCACTTTCATGAGGTCGTTGACATCCACCACCGCCACAGCGCACCCCAGCATCGCACTCAGCCCCCTCACAGTTTTCTGTACGCTCAGCTGAATAGTGGGGAGCCGGGGGTGGGAAGCGCAAGGAGAAATGGCAAGGCAAGTGGGATGGGAGAGGGAGAGGGGTACGGATGGGAGGCGGTCGAGGTCGTTCACGCCCACCACTGCCACAGCACACCCCAGCCTCGCACTCAGCCCCCTCACAGTTTCCTGTACATGGAGCTGGAGAGATGATAGGGGAGAGGAGAGAGGCGAGAGGAGAGAGGAGAGAGGAGAGAGGAGAGAGGAGAGAGGAGAGTGGAGAGAGGAGAGAGGAGAGAGGAGAGAGGAGAGAGGAGAGAGGAGAGAGGAGAGAGGAGAGAGGAGAGAGGAGAGAGGAGAGTGGAGAGAGGAGAGAGGAGAGAGGAGAGAGGAGAGAGGAGAGAGGAGAGAGGAGAGTGGAGAGAGGAGAGAGGAGAGAGGAGAGAGGAGAGAGGAGAGAGGAGAGAGGAGAGAGAAGAGAGGAGAGAGGAGAGTGGAGAGAGGAGAGTGGAGAGTGGAGAGAGGAGAGAGGAGAGAGGAGAGAGGAGAGAGGAGAGAGGAGAGTGGAGAGTGGAGAGAGGAGAGAGGAGAGAGGAGAGAGGAGAGAGGAGAGAGGAGAGTGGAGAGAGGAGAGAGGAGAGTGGAGAGAGGAGAGAGGAGAGAGGAGAGAGGAGAGAGGAGAGAGGAGAGAGGAGAGAGGAGAGAGGAGAGAGGAGAGAGGAGAGAGGAGAGAGGAGAGAGGAGAGAGGAGAGAGGAGAGTGGAGAGAGGAGAGAGGAGAGAGGAGAGAGGAGAGAGGAGAGTGGAGAGAGGAGAGAGGAGAGAGGAGAGAGGAGAGAGGAGAGAGGAGAGAGGAGAGAGGAGAGTGGAGAGAGGAGAGAGGAGAGTGGAGAGAGGAGAGAGGAGAGAGGAGAGAGGAGAGAGGAGAGAGGAGAAAGGAGAGGAGAGAGGAGAGAGGAGAGAGAAGAGAGGAGAGTGGAGAGAGGAGAGAGGAGAGAGGAGAGAGGAGAGAGGAGAGAGGAGAGAGGAGAGTGGAGAGAGGAGAGAGGAGAGAGGAGAGAGGAGAAAGGAGAGAGGAGAGAGGAGAGAGGAGAGAGGAGAGAGGAGAGAGGAGAGTGGAGAGAGGAGAGAGGAGAGAGGAGAGAGGAGAGAGGAGAGTGGAGAGAGGAGAGAGGAGAGAGGAGAGAGGAGAGAGGAGAGAGGAGAGAGGAGAGAGGAGAGAGGAGAGTGGAGAGAGGAGAGAGGAGAGAGGAGAGAGGAGAGAGGAGAGAGGAGAAAGGAGAGGAGAGAGGAGAGAGGAGAGAGAAGAGAGGAGAGTGGAGAGAGGAGAGAGGAGAGAGGAGAGAGGAGAGAGGAGAGAGGAGAGAGGAGAGAGGAGAGAGGAGAGAGGAGAGAGGAGAGAGGAGAGTGGAGAGAGGAGAGAGGAGAGAGGAGAGTGGAGAGTGGAGAGAGGAGAGAGGAGAGTGGAGAGAGGAGAGAGGAGAGAGGAGAGAGGAGAGAGGAGAGAGGAGAGTGGAGAGAGGAGAGAGGAGAGTGGAGAGAGGAGAGAGGAGAGAGGAGAGAGGAGAGAGGAGAGAGGAGAAAGGAGAGGAGAGAGGAGAGAGGAGAGAGAAGAGAGGAGAGTGGAGAGAGGAGAGAGGAGAGAGGAGAGAGGAGAGAGGAGAGAGGAGAGAGGAGAGTGGAGAGAGGAGAGAGGAGAGAGGAGAGAGGAGAAAGGAGAGAGGAGAGAGGAGAGAGGAGAGAGGAGAGAGGAGAGAGGAGAGTGGAGAGAGGAGAGAGGAGAGAGGAGAGAGGAGAGAGGAGAGTGGAGAGAGGAGAGAGGAGAGAGGAGAGAGGAGAGAGGAGAGAGGAGAGAGGAGAGAGGAGAGAGGAGAGTGGAGAGAGGAGAGAGGAGAGAGGAGAGAGGAGAGAGGAGAGAGGAGAAAGGAGAGGAGAGAGGAGAGAGGAGAGAGAAGAGAGGAGAGTGGAGAGAGGAGAGAGGAGAGAGGAGAGAGGAGAGAGGAGAGAGGAGAGAGGAGAGTGGAGAGAGGAGAGAGGAGAGAGGAGAGAGGAGAGAGGAGAGAGGAGAGAGGAGAGTGGAGAGTGGAGAGAGGAGAGAGGAGAGTGGAGAGAGGAGAGAGGAGAGAGGAGAGAGGAGAGAGGAGAGTGGAGAGAGGAGAGAGGAGAGTGTCACGAAACATATTGGTAAGTTGGAGCATATTTCGTTCAGAGCTATGTGGGGTGTAGGTGGTGTACAAGTTGTTATGCAGGGTATTGGAGTGGTAGTTGAGGACTTGGGGAATCACGCGAAGTTGGTGACTCAGAAGATTGCGAAGCGCATGTTGGGAAAATTTGAGGCCTAGGGAGACAGGAAATCGGCGAGGGCCAACCAGAGCCCAGGCGACTCCAGTGCAAGCCCAGCCCCTGAATAATTCGCGACAGGGAAAGCAAGTACTAGTAGTCTAGCCTAGCAGAGCCAGACTTGTTCTCTCGTTTGTCTACCTGTTATAGTGGATGCAAGTTACCGTCCTAAGCTACTGCTGCTAGGTGACAAGGCCACTCGGGGTAGCCATTGTGTGGGAGTCAGGACTTCTCACAAACGAGAGAAAGAGCCGGCGACATGGATCGCCATGAGCTGCGCATGCAGCGAACGTATTCGCGGCGGGAACGTTCTCCGTCGCGGGGAAGGTGCTCAAGGGAGCGAGGGAGGTCGCCGACGCGCTCGCCAAGGAGGGCGGCGTATCGCGCAGATCTGGTGACGCCAGTGGGCGTGCGCGCTGGAGGACGCGGAGCGGATCTGCACGTCAGATCGGAGCCTGGAAGGCGGCCCGCGACCAGCGATCCGTGGGATCTGGCAGGAGGCCGGCGCGGAATGGATGGAAGGCGTCGCGACGACGACGTGGAGATGGACTCGGCGAGCGATGACGATGGGGAGGAAGAAATTGAAGAAGCCCCAGTCGCGCGGGGCAGCGGCGATCGAAAAGAGACTGATGGCGAAGGATCCCCCATTGCGCGGGGTGGTGGAAGGCGCAACGACGCCAAAGACGAAGTGTTCCCAACGACGCGGAGGAAGGAAGAGCGCGTACCTGCAGGGCAGTATGAATATGAGTTGAAGCACAACAGGAGTGGGAGAGGTGAACGTCATACCAGGGAGCCTCTAGGAAGAGAGAGGAGTTGTCATGCGCCCACTGGAGCATTCCGCTCGCCCGAGCCGAGGGAGAAGTATGAGCGCAGGCGGCGCATGGCGAGGGGTGACTGGCGAGGTTTGGGGCTGCCGAGGGAGGGAGAGCGTAGCGATGGTAAAGAAGAGGGGTGGGACTCTACGCAGAAGGGAAGAGAGCACAAAGAGGGGTACCGCAGGGAGGACAGGCGAGGATCACTACATGCTTCGGGGGCAGAAGAGAGGAAGCGAGAAGACCAGCAGCGGCAGGACAGGGTAGAGCGAGATAGGCGAGGTCAGGAATACTCGCCTGAGAGGAAGGAAAGGAGAAGGGGGGAAGAAGGCAAGTGGAAGGAGGCGTGGGAAGGGGAGCATAGAGGGAGTCCGAGTCCAAGGAGCTCAAGGAGGCCATGGCAGACAGGAGAGGGATCCAGCGGGGCTAGAGCCGCAAGGGAGGGAATAGAGAGGGTGTTGTACGGAGCTAGCGCAGGCAGCAGAGGAATGAGGGAGCGCAGAAGAGAAGGTAGCCATATGGAGCGTGGAGTGACAGGGACCTGGGACACAGGGAGATGGGGCACGCAGGCGCCGCCTAGGGTGGAGGTGCCAGTGCGCTTCACGGGAAATGAAGGGACGGGCACTAACCTGAAGAATTATCTGATGCAGATTGGGAATGTCAAGTATCGGTGTGATCGTGGGGGGATGGACCCCATCGACTTCTTCCTCAGTCTGCCCAACACATTGGGAGGGGAAGCAGAGACTTTGTATCGCATGAAAATGCAAGAGTGGCTGAGAAGGGCGGAGGAAGATGGAGATGACCCGACAGCATTGTTTCTGGCGCGGCTACGCAAGCAGTTTCCCGGGCATACAGCGGACCGGATCAGGGAGTTTCAAGACTTCAGACGCAAGAAGGACGAGTCATTGTTAACATACTATGGGCGACTCATGAACCTGGCCGAAGATGTGGTGTGCACGGACACCAGTATGCTGATCAGCAAGTTCCTGGCGGGGCTGGATGATGGGTTAGCAGGAGGGCTGAGGATGAGGGTCTACGAGTAGGGGCGGAGGCAACGCTGGAACAAGTATTTGAGCTGGCAGACAAGGTGGAGCTGGCACAGAGGCGCTATGAGGCATACCTGCCCAAAGCAGCGGAGAAGAAACGACCCACCTGGGCAGCCGCGATGATACCAGGGGCAGGAAGCGGAGAGGAGCAGCGGCAGGAGAGGAGGACAGATACTAGGACGTGCTACAGGTGTGGACAGCCAGGGCACGTGAAGATGAACTGCAAGAACTGTGACACATGTGGCAAACCAGGCCACCGCCGGCGGGAGTGCCCTGATGCGCCTATCTGTGAAGTGTGCGGAAAAAGGGGGCATCAGCAGAAAGACTGCTATCAGAAGACGGGTGGACCGAGAAGGTCACAAGAGGACATAGCAAACCAGATCGAGAAGCTGCAAGCGCGGTTGCAGGTGATGGGAGGCAAGAAGGAGAAGGAAGCGGGCTTGTATGCAAGAGAGGAGGAAGAGGAGGAAAGGGAGGAGGAAGAACGGTTGCCAGAACACACCTTTTTAGCAATGCGCTGCCGAGAAGAGATGGGTCTGAGGAGCGGGGGCAAGGATGGGAGGAAGGAACACATAGTGAAGGAGAGAGGGAGAGCGAAAGAGAAAACGGAAGAAGAGAGTGAAGGGGATGAGGAGCCAGCCCGGCATCCCAAGGACCGACTAGCCAGCCAAGCACCGGTACTGGTGGCAGAAGCAGGGACAGTGACTGTGGGAGGGGAGATAGCAAAGACTGCGATCCTAGATACAGTGACACAGAGCGTGATGCTGGGGAAACGGCTAGCACAGAAGCTGGGACTGACCGGACAAGGGCAGCACATAAAGCGGGGGATGCTGGTTATGACTGCGGAGGGAGGCGAACCTAAGTGGTTGCCGTGCACAAAGACTCCAGTGGAGGTGGTGCTGATGCCGGGAAGGGACGAGCAAACCAGCATACGACTACAGTGTGGGATCTCTGACTCTGAAGACTTCGATGTACTGCTGGGGACGGAACTGATCTGGGGCGTGGGAATGACCATCTGCACATGGAAGGAAAAGGTGAAGTTTCGGAAGCAGTACTGGAAGCGGGGAAGCAGAACGGGAGAGCTGCCTGTACAATTCATCAGGCAGGAGCCAAGAAGGGCGTATACGGCCGAACAGGCGGGAAATAGAGACAGAGGGAAAGCGGGATTGGTGGGCAAGGCAGCAGAGACCAACGCGTGGCAGGAACCAATCAGACTGGTAGAACTGTTCGGGGGCATAGGAGCGGGATTGGCGGCGGTGCTCAGGGCAGGGATAGCCGTGAAGGAGTGGATCTATGTTGAGAAAAATGAGAAGGTAAGGAAGATGGCCGAGCACCATGCGAGGAAGCTGCAGAGAGAGTATCCTGAGCTGCTGGACGAAGAAGTGGTAATCAAGGCAATGCAGGGGACACTGACAGATGTGAAGAACATCACAAGGGAAGTGGTGAGGGGCTGGGGGCACGTGGACCTGCTGGTAGCAGGGTGGGAGTGCCAAGCAGTATCAAGAGCGGGGAAAGGAAGGGGATTAGGAGATCCAAGGGGAGCACTGCTGGTCAACTTGCTCTGCATCATCGACTGGATCAAGGAAAGACAAGAGAAGCTGGTGTACCGGCTGGAGCATGTGGACCTGGAAGGGGAGTGCAGAGAACCAGTGAGGAAAGTACGAGAGTTGGTAACAAGGAAGCTGGGGAAGGGAGTGAGGTGTGACGCAGCCAGGCTAGGGGCACGAGCTCACCGAGTCAGACGCTACTGGCAGAACGTCGTGATGGAAGAGCAATTGCAACAGGAGCTGGACGGGATACGGAGGGATTGGAGCAGGACTGTGCAGGAGATCCTGGAGCCGGGCAGGACAGCGGCACCAGTCAGAAAGGGCAGACATGAGACGCAGTGCCCATGCAACAAAGTGGGGGCAGAGCGCAGGGCATGGCCGACACTAGTGGGATACAAAAGGGCCGCCGGTTTTAGGGAGGAGGATGGGCTGCCAGGAGAAGGCATGGTGTATGATCACAGGACGAAGAGATGGGAGGAACCTACCGCGCTGGAACGGGAACTAGCGATGGGGTATGGAGAAGGGATAACTGATGCAGCAGGGGTGACAGAACAGGAACGACGGAAAGCACTGGGGCAGGCCATGGACGGTCAGGTCATGCAGTGGCTTTTGCGGCGAATGTGGAGAGGGTTGGTCATGGGAGAGGAGCAGGAACGGGAGACTGAGGGAGGAGGGATGAAAAAGGTGGGGGCATGGGTGTGCACGGCAGCCAAGGAAGAGCCAGCATGGGTGGTGGGGAATGCCATGAGTGAGAAGGGAAAGGAGGCAATGCAGGAGGTGCTGGCCAGGTACAGGCATGCCTTCGCGTTAACCCTACAGGAGCTGGGTAAGTGTTCGGTGAAGGAGATGGAGCTGAAGCTGGTCACAGATGAGCCAGTATTTCAGAGGAAGCGGAGAATGACACCAGCAGACGAGGACATTTGTAAGGAAAAATGTAAGGAGCTGTTAGAAGTGGGACTGATACAGCGATCGGAGTCCGAGTACGCAACACCAACAGTTGTAGCAGCACGGAAGGATCTGCTGGGGGAAGTGCTGAGCAGACGGATGTGTGGGGACTACCGAGCACTGAACAAGGTGACAGTGCCCGACAGGTACCCCATGCCAACGGCTGAAGATATTTTTGACCGACTGGGGGCAGGAGAGATTTTCAGCACGCTAGATTTAAGGCAGGGGTTCAACCAGATTCGGATCAAGAAGGAGGACGTGCGGAAGATGGCATTTCATGGGGCAGACGGGCTGTATGAATGGCTGTTCATGCCATTCAGGCTGCGGAACGCGTCAGCCATCTTTCAGAGAGTGATGGATAGCGTCTTGAGGGGACTAGACTGTGCGGCGTGTTACATAGACGACGTAGTAATCTTCAGCAAGAGCGAAGAAGAGCATGCGAGGGATGTGGAGCGGACACTGAAGGCGTTGGCGGATGCAGGGCTGACCTGCCACCCGAAGAAATGCAGATGGGGAGAGGCAACCGTACAGTACCTGGGGTACGAGGTCAGGGGAGGGCAGATAGGGATTCAGCAGGCAAAGATTGAGGTGCTGAACAGGCTGCAGCAGCCGAAGGACAGGAGCGGACTAAGGGCAGTGCTGGGATTTCTGAGTTACTACCGCAGGTTTGTCCCGAACTTCAGCAAACGAGCGACAGCGCTGAACGGACTGCTGAAGGAGGACAGAAAGTGGGAGTGGGGGACAGACCAGGTGGCAGCGTTAAAGGACTTGATGGAGGCGGTGCAGACGGCGACAATACTGCAGCTGCCAAAGGCTGACAAGCCCTTCTGCCTCTATACCGACTGGAGCAGCCAGGGCATGGGCGCTATACTCTGCCAGGAGATAGATGGGGAGGAAAGGGTGGTGGCATATGCGAGCAGGAGCTGCAACCCCGCGGAAGCAAAGTACAGCTCATACCATTGGGAAGGGCTAGCAGCCGTGTGGGCAGTGAAACACTTCAGAGTATACTTGCAGGGGAGGGAGTTCACGCTCATAACATACCACCAGCCGCTGCAGTGGTTGATGACCCACCAAGGACTGACAGGGAGGAATGCGCGGTGGGCAGTCACACTGCAGGAATACGATTTCAAGATACGGCACAGGCCGGGGAAGACACTGCAGCACGTTGAGGGGCTCTCAAGGAACCCACCACCACCAGAGCCGGTACAGGTGCTGATGATGCTGGCTAGGCAAGGGGAGAAAGAGGCGGCAGGGAAGCAGCAGGGACCACGGGATATATGGGAAGACGCTGAGGCGCTGAGGTGGATTAAGGGAGAAACAGAGGGGGATGAGCAGGTGCCCGAACGTGCAAGGGCACGGGGAAACCACTATCGGTGGTACCAGGGGCAGCTGCAACTGCAGTCAAAAGACGGCTGGAAATTGGTGCCAGCACCTGGGGAGAGGGAGGGGGTAATTGAGGAGGTGCACAAAAAGTTAGGACACTTCGGTCACGAGCGAACGATGCAACTGCTGAAGACAGGATGGTGGTGGGATGGGATGCGAAAGCAGGTGAAGGAGTGGGTAAGCGGATGCGCGGGATGCCAGCGAAGCAAGGCGAGTCTAATGCAAGCAAAACAGGAGCTACAGTCGCTGCCGATTAGAGGGCTGGGGTTTAGGTGGTCGTTAGACCTGGCAGGAGAATTGCCGCTGAGCAGGGGAGGGCAACCGTACATCCTGCTCATGGTAGAGCACGCTAGCAAGTGGCTTGAGGTGTGGGCCATACCGAGCAAAGACTCCAGGCATGTGGCCAAGGCTTTTAAGGAGCAGGTGTTGTGCAGGTTTGGAGCGCCGGGAGAGGTGTTAACCGATCAGGGAGCCGAGTTTAGGGGAGAGTTTCAGGCGCTGCTGGACGAGACAGGGATCACTCACCGACTAACGTCAAGGTACCACCCTCAGAGCGATGGTTTGACAGAACGATTGGTGCAGACCCTAAAGCGCAACCTAAGGGCGTACGGGGAACAGCGGAAGAGGAACTGGGACGAGGAGCTGCACTGGATTGCAGCCGGGTACCGATTCGGGAAGCAGGCGTCATTGAAGGATCATTCGCCATACAGCCTGCTGTTTGGAAGAGAACCAATTCTGCCAGTGGGAGCCCCACGGGTGCTGACTGACACTGTATCGGTGGAGGGAGCGGAAAAGTGGGTAGCATTAGCAGAAGCCAGGGCGAGGTACATGAGGGAGATGCTGCCGGCGGCCTTGGAAAACCTGCACACAGCGCAGCTCAGGGACGCACGCAGATATGAACAGAGGCAGCAGCAAGGAGGCAGAAAGAGTAAAGCAGCAGCAGCGGAGGGCCAGGAGGTGTACCTGCAAAGGGCCAGGAAGGATACACTGGATGTGGGGTTAGGAACTGAGCGGTGGAAGGTGAAGGAGATCAGGGGATCGGGGGTGTTGGTGCTGGAGAACGAAAAGGGGGAAAGGACAGTTGATCACCAGACGAACGCAGCTGTGGTGAAAGGACAGAGACCTCAGCAAGTGGGTTCTGTGACACGTGCACGGGCGGCCCGCGCACGGGCACAGGAGGGGGCAGGGAGTGGCTGAGGCAGGAGAGGACTGAGTAAGGGCAATCATGGAAGGAAAAGGGACAAGAGGAGGATGGGGTGAGAGCAGAGAAGGTAACCACGCAGTGCTGGCAAGGATAAGTGAGTACTCCGACACCTGTCACGAAACATATTGGTAAGATGCAGCATATTTCGTTCAGAGCTATGTGGGGTGTAGGTGGTGTACAAGTTGTTATGCAGGGTATTGGAGTGGTAGTTGAGGACTTGGGGAATCACGCGAAGTTGGTGACTCAGAAGATTGCGAAGCGCATGTTGGGAGAATTTGAGGCCTAGGGAGACAGGAAATCGGCGAGGGCCAACCAGAGCCCAGGCGACTCCAGTGCAAGCCCAGCCCCTGAATAATTCGCGACAGGGAAAGCAAGTACTAGTAGTCTAGCCTAGCAGAGCCAGACTTGTTCTCTCGTTTGTCTACCTGTTATAGTGGAAGCAAGTTACCGTTCTAAGCTACTGCTGCTAGGTGACAAGGCCACTCGGGGTAGCCATTGTGTGGGAGTCAGGACTTCTCACATGGGAGTGGCTGAGGCAGGAGAGGACTGAGTAAGGGCAATCATGGAAGGAAAAGGGACAAGAGGAGGATGGGGTGAGAGCAGAGAAGGTAACCACGCAGTGCTGGCAAGGATAAGTGAGTACTCCGACAAGAGTGGAGAGAGGAGAGAGGAGAGAGGAGAGAGGAGAAAGGAGAGAGGAGAGAGGAGAGAGGAGAGAGGAGAGAGCAGAGTGGAGAGAGGAGAGAGGAGAGAGGAGAGAGGAGAGAGGAGAGAGGAGAGTGGAGAGAGGAGAGGAGAGAGGAGAGAGGAGAGAGGAGAGAGGAGAGAGGAGAGTGGAGAGAGGAGAGAGGAGAGAGGAGAGAGGAGAGAGGAGAGTGGAGAGAGGAGAGAGGAGAGAGGAGAGAGGAGAGAGGAGAGTGGAAAGAGGAGAGTGGAGGGGAGGGGAGGGGAGGAGAGGAGAGAGGAGAGAGGAGAGAGGAGAGAGGAGAGAGGAGAGAGGAGAGAGGAGAGTGGAAAGAGGAGAGTGGAGGGGAGGGGAGGGGAGGGGAGGAGAGGAGCACCCATGGGGCCGAGGAAAATGAACTGGTCAAGGGGGGGGAAATTGAGTGTAGTGCTGCTGTGAGTATTTGTGGCGCAATTGCGTGGATAGGAGAGAGGAGAGGAGAGAGGAGAGGAGAGAGGAGGAGAGGAGAGGAGAGGAGAGGAGAGGAGAGGAGAAAGATGCACAGGCCCCAAGGGTAATAAACTGGTCATACGACGGGGAGAGTGGAAAGCGGAGAGGAGACGGACGAGAGAGGAAGAGAGGAAGCGGGCATACATGGGGCACATATACGGCAAGAGAGGGAGAGGGTACCCACAGGCCCAAGGGAGAGGGTACCCACAGGCCCAAGGGAGAGGGTACCCACAGGCCCAAGGGAGAGGGTACCCACAGGCCCAAGGGAGAGGGTACCCACAGGCCCAAGGGAGAGGGTACCCACAGGCCCAAGGGAGAGGGTACCCACAGGCCCAAGGGAGAGGGTACCCACAGGCCCAAGGGAGAGGGTACCCACAGGCCCAAGGGAGAGGGTACCCACAGGCCCAAGGGAGAGGGTACCCACAGGCCCAAGGGAGAGGGTACCCACAGGCCCAAGGGAGAGGGTACCCACAGGCCCAAGGGAGAGGGTACCCACAGGCCCAAGGGAGAGGGTACCCACAGGCCCAAGGGAGAGGGTACCCACAGGCCCAAGGGAGAGGGTACCCACAGGCCCAAGGGAGAGGGTACCCACAGGCCCAAGGGAGAGGGTACCCACAGGCCCAAGGGAGAGGGTACCCACAGGCCCAAGGGAGAGGGTACCCACAGGCCCAAGGGAGAGGGTACCCACAGGCCCAAGGGAGAGGGTACCCACAGGCCCAAGGGAGAGGGTACCCACAGGCCCAAGGGAGAGGGTACCCACAGGCCCAAGGGAGAGGGTACCCACAGGCCCAAGGGAGAGGGTACCCACAGGCCCAAGGGAGAGGGTACCCACAGGCCCAAGGGAGAGGGTACCCACAGGCCCAAGGGAGAGGGTACCCACAGGCCCGAGGGAGAGGGTACCCACAGGCCCGAGGGCGATAAACTGGTCATACGGCGGGAGAGTCCCGGTGATGTCGTCAATGAGCCGCGCCTGGTACCCTGCCAGCTGGTAGAACACACCCCTCTGCCCCAGCAGCACTCGTGCCAGCACCGCCACTATCACCGCGAGTATCACGCGCACCACCCCCACCAAGTCGACAAGCACCTGTTGAGAGGGGCAAGGGGAATGGGTTTGGAGGGGGGGGAACGGCATGGGTGTGGGTAGTTTGCGAGGGCAACGGGTGGAGAGCACTGGCAGCGCCCCCGACGTGTGTATGAGCGATAAGCTAGCCTAGTGTGCACTGGGTGTTGCTGCCTGTGCGGAGCAACTGCTACGTGCTGCATCAAGGAGTCCGGGGATCAGAAGCGGCCGTGCATAATGGTCAGCCCACCCGCGCACACACACAGCCCCACCCCCACCACTCCCTCCCCGTTCACCTGCATGCCACAAGCCATAGCATGAGACGAGGAGGGCAGGAAGCAGGGGCATCAAGGGGTCCGGGGGGGGGAAAGCGGCCCTGCATAATGGCCGGCCCACCCCCACACACAGACCCACCCCCACACACAGACCCACCCCCACCATTCCCGACCCTTTCACCTGCATGCCACAAGCCGTGGAGAGAGAGGATTTGGGCAGGAAGCAGAGGCAGGCCAAGCGAGCGACGAGGCCCGGGGGCACGGAGTCTGGGTGGCGGAAGCCGCCCTGCATGATGGCCAATGGCGTCTCGCCAAGTGTCACCACGTCGCCTGGTTGCAAATATGGTGCTGCGTAGCTGGAGTGGGTGGGTGGGTTGGGAGTATGGTGCAGTGCGGTGCAGTGCAGTGAGGATGCCGGTCAATCTCGGGAAGAAGCGTGACGTGGTGAGACGTGGTGGGATGTGGTGGGATGTGTAATGCACAAAATGGCTTCACAGGCTGATAGGTCGAACATGACTGACTAGGCTTGACAGACTTGGCCGTGTAAGCATGGGGGTGAGTGAGAGTGAGCATGGGTGCACGAGAGCGCAAGGGGCGAGTCTCACTGGCGCAGCACGAGGAGCGGGTCGTCGAGGTGGCACAGCAGGTGCGTTGGGACGGCCAGCACTGATATGCCCGCTGCTATGCTGCCGGCATGGTGGGGGGAGGAGGAGGGGGATTGTGACGGTGTGGTGTGGAGCAGCAGTGAATGCGGTGCAGATGGAGGGCAGGAGGGGAGGAGCAGGCGCGAGGGCGAGTAGAGCCGAAGGTGATAAGGGCGAGGGGGAGTAGGGGCGCGCGCAAGCAGGGGCGAGGCCCACAAAGGAACGTATTTGCGCCAGGTAGGTCGTGAGAAGAGAAGCAGATGGAGGCGGGCAGGGGGAGAAGGCCATTGTGGAGGTGTGGAGCAGGCGGGAGTGTGGATGGGAGAAGGAGAGGGGAGGAGCATGGGAGTGGGCGAGTAGGTGCGAGGACGCACCTGCGCCAGGTAGGGGCGTGGGGAGCGGATGGGGGCGGGCAGGGGGGGAAGGCGAGGGGCAGGATGACGTGCTGCACCAATGGCAGGCTGCCATGTGGCCCGTACGCCTGGTAATGCACGTCCAGCCTGGCCGCCTGGTGGGCGGAACGCGAGGAGAGGGGTGTGTGTGGTGCGAAGGGAGGGGGTTGGTTGGTAGAGAAGAGTGAAGGAGGGAGCGCAGGAGGGGAGTGATAAAATGCGGAATGTGTGCTTGAGAGACACAAGAGCGGGAAGGGAGTGGGGAGGGTGGTGTGGGGGAGGGTGGTGTGGGGAAGGTGGGACAGACAGGCATGGGCTGCTGATGATGCTCCCTGCCCACACTCATGGGACGCAGCAGCGCTCGCTCTACTAGTGGCTGTACCTTGAGGTGGGAAAGGGGTGCTGTCTCCCCTGAATCTGAATCTGAGTCTGCCGCCCGAATCTCAACAGTCACCTCCATCGCTGTGCTCTGCCCCGCCCGGACGATGTACGCCGGCCAGTACCCATCCGCTCGGGCGGCAGGCGTGCCGTTCGGATGGCGAGGAGCAATCTGGAAGGGGCGGGGAGGAGGTGGTAGAGTAGAAAAAACGACGGATAAGAGGAGATTGGGGATTTGGAGTTGAACCAACTAAGTGGGCAAGGGGGAACAAAACTGAGAGAAGGGGATGGACGGGAAGCCTAGTGGCTGCACGGGTGAAGGTGCAAGGGAGTGTCGGGGAGTGTGATGTGAGGGCGTGTGAGGGAGTGAGGAGGAGGGCAGAAGGGCCAGCACTGACTGACAGAGACGTGGGAGGTGATGCCGTGGAGGGAGTGCGAGGAGAGCAGCACTGCCACGCGTGCCGTCACATGCGGAATGAAGGTGCTGTGCTTGCGCGTCGTGTTGTGGAAGCTGCACCAGGGGTGTGGATTTAGGGGGGGTGGGGAGGGGAGAGGGGGGAGGCGGGAGGTGAGGGTTCTTCTGCCCAAGGCGAGTGCAGAGGCTCGTCCGTCCCAGCCTCTGTTGACTCGACTCAACAAAGCCAGAGGCTCGTCCGTCCCATGAATGCGATGCACGCCCTGAGTTGACAAGGAGGACGCCCAGCCCTGAATGGCGTCGTCCCACTGGTCCTCCCTGCCCTCCCGCCATCCCCCTCCCGCCATCCCTCTCCCGCCATCCCCCTCCCGCCATCCCCCTCCCGCCATCCCCCTCCAGCCATCCCCCTTCCGGTCTTCCAGCTCAACCCGCCAAACTGTCTCCCGCTCTTGCGCTCTCGTCCAAATCTCACGACTTGTGCTCACAGGTCATCTGTTCATTCCTTCTTGCACCACATGCATAACGTTTATCCACCTCTGCACCCACCTCTCTCCCCTCACCTCATCTCGCCACCATCGCTCTGCCCTCCCTCAGCTAATGACCCCCATCGCCCCTCCCCATCGCCACTCCCCTCCCCCCCCCCCCCCTCACCTCATGACCCCCACGAGGCGGTAGAGCGACGGGCCTCTCTCCTCCCATTGCCAGCTGCCACGTGTCAACAGCAGACCTCCTGGCACATTCCCGCCCTTTACAGTCACATGTGTATGAATGCATGCACACATATGCAGGGAGCCAAGAACACACACACACATGCACTCACACGCATGCACCCATGCACAGAACACATGCTTGCAAGTTGCAGACATACACACGTGCACGAGTACGAGCACACAAACCCACACACACACACACACGCACGAGTACGAGCACACAAACCCACACACACACACACACACGCACGAGTACGAGCACACAAACCCACACACACACACGCGCGCACGAGTACGAGCACACAAACCCACACACACACACACGCGCACGAGTACGAGCACACAAACCCACACACACATACACGTGCACGAGTACGAGCACACAAACCCACACACACACATACGCGCGCGAGTACGAGCACACAAACCCACACACATACACACGCGCACGAGTACGAGCACACAAACCCACACACACACACACGCGCACGAGTACGAGCACACAAACCCACACACACACACACGCGCATGAGTACGAGCACACAAACCCACACACATACACACGCGCATGAGTACGAGCACACAAACCCACACACATACACACGCGCACGAGTACGAGCACACAAACCCACACACATACACACGCGCACGAGTACGAGCACACAAACCCACACACATACACACGTGCACGAGTACGAGCACACAAACCCACACACACGACACGGGAAACGAAGATGAAGCCATTTTTTTCAGTGTGGCGTAGAAGTGAATTCAATGAAGACCTCTTCATTTAGAGAATGGATGAAACAACGCACGCGTCTACGCCTTCCACGCCCCCTTCATCTCCCACCTTCTCTTCCTCATCCCATCCCCTTGCTCCCATTCCCATCCCTCCTCATCCCATTCCCTCTTTCCTCTCCCTCCTTCACTCCCCACCTGCACCATGGTCAGAAGCCGAGCCTTCTCCTGAGAAAGCCACCTCTCATTGCTTGCCACGTCATATGTCCACGCATCCTGCAATGCGCCCCGCCCCACTGCGGTCCCGCCCGCCGCCCCCTCCGCCGTCTCCGCCGTCGCATTTCGCCACTCCGCGGGATCGCTAGCCCACGCCGCGCCCGCCGCGCCCGCCGCCGCGAATCCCGGACGGAGCATTTTATTTCGTGACTGTGACTGTGACTGTGTGCGAAGGGATTCCCTCAAGATTGCGGCGGGATGGGCGGAACGGAAGCGCTGTGAGTCCGCCGTGGCGCACTCGGACGCGCGGAGAAGCGAGGGGGAGCGGTAGCGCACGGGGGCGCGGAGAGGCGACGGGAAACGGAAGGGCGAGTGCGCGGTGAGCGAGGGTATGTCAGCATCCCAAAAATCGGGGGTCCCAAAAAGTAGGGTTTCGGAAAGTAGGATTGGAGTAACAACTCGATTTGAGTCTGGAAACATGCTTTCGACGCATCGCGTCGAAATGAAATCAGAGCAGACAGCTTCGGAAAGCCCAATTTCGTTTGGGCAGCAATGCTATCAGCTTCGGAAATCGCCTCACTGGTTGAGAGGCTAGGCTTGCAGGTTCGGCGAAACATTTCAGCTTCGGCGAATTTGTGGGAGGCCAGGAACTTAGCGCTAGTGTCCCATTGGCCCTATGTCTCGATGGAGCCTGCTGAGTTGGCGTTCTGATATTTGGAATACACATGATAGTACATTGTCTGGAAGAATTTGAAACATATAATGTGTGCAAGGAAAATCCCTTTTCCTTACTTCGCATCCCTGCTCAACGCGTACATCACTGTAGCACCTCAGTCAGCACCGTTACCACTCGCGATCATCGCATCGACAATCATCCCGCCATTTTTCGCACATCGCATCCCGACCTCACGGCTCGGCTGGTAACCCGCGCTCCCGGCCTACGCCTCGACACTTTCCCAACCTCAGTCTCAGTGTCGTCGCGCGACTACCACAGACCATTACAGTTACCACTGTAGTTTCGCTATATATTCTTCGCTCACGCCCTCGTTCATTGTATTCTTGCTTCGATAGTGCAATTCTCGTTCGTTCACTCAATTGCACTCGTAACACTTGGTTATCAGAGCCTACGATCTCAGCTCGGACCGCATCCACAACTTCGCTTCCCCACTATCTCATTTTTTTTGGGGGGGGGTAGACGTCGCTCAGCGATACAGCACCGCCGCTCGTAGTGCTCTCTCGCAAGCACACACGGCCACGACCGAGTCTCTCGCTGAGCTTGCCTGACACCCCCGCCATGGCCGATTTCACGCTCGCCACATTAACGCAGGAGCAGCTTGATCGTCTCGTGCGTCAACTGGAAGATTCAGCGCTCGAAATTGCGACACTCACGGCGGAACGTGACTTCGCCCGTCAACAGTCCACGGTGAACGTTCCGACGACATCACACACACCAACAAATGTATCGGCACATTCGGATGAACCGATCGTCATCTCGTCCGGCACACCAACACAACACGACAGCATGGGACAACGCTCAGGCACAACCAGTAATGGCGCCGCCCAGCCGATGCCTGGCATGGGAGGAAACAGGATCGCACCAAGCCCGCGGGAGCCCCGAGAAGCCCGTCGGCACGTGGAATTTGCGGCGACAAGTGGCGAACAAGCCATCATGGCACCAATGCCGCTCAAGCCGCAACGCCCGCCCTGCTTCGACCCAAGCCAACGCGGCGGTCCGACGGTTCAATCGTGGGTCTTCACGATGAACGTCTTCTTCGACGCAAATTACGTCGAGTCGGACGACGCGAAGATCCGGTATGCAGTTTCACTGCTAAGGGGCCCCGCCATGGACTGGTGGCGAGTCATCATGACGTCGCCACGCGCCTACGAGCCACCGTCGCACGAGGAAGGGCCCACGGGTCCAGCTGTCACCTGGAGTTCGTTCTGTGAGACCGCCCAATACAGCACGTGGGATGCGTGGTGCGCAGGGCTTCGGGCGCGTTTTGAGCCGATCGCGGCTTTAATTTCGGCGCGTCAGAGATTGCGCACTTGGCGCCAGCTCGGGTCAGTTCAAGATTATACAAGCGGTTTTCTCGCACTTTGCGAGCAGGTCGGCTACATGCACGAAGCGGAGTGGGTGGACCGTTATGTCGGAGGGCTGAAGCCGGATATCTCGCACGAAATAATGCTGCGCGGACTCTCTAATTTTAATGAGATTCTCGCGCTCGCCGAGAAGATCGACATTCTACGCCGACCGAGACCGGGGTCCTATTACGGACATCGCCCTCGGAGACCGACCGAGCACGCCACTGTACACGCCGTTGCAACAAATGCAGCTGCCGCACCGTTTAAAGGGCACTGTTTTGCTTGCAATAGGCCGGGCCATCGCAAGAGCGAATGCCCAGAGGAGCTGAGGCGCCGAGGAGCAGAGCAGGGGAGGGAGTCTCAGAGGCAGGGAAACGCCAGCAGTCAGTAGAAGTTGGGCCAACTACTGACGAGACTGCCTGCTCGCCCAACCGCACCGACCCTCACCGAGTCACAGTACCGATTCACGCCATCGATCGGGCTCGGATGAATAAGGAGGGTACAGCGACGGATTGCCCGGTACTGATCTACGGGAAAATACATGGAGCAGCAGTGAAGATTTTTATTGACGGGGGAGCAAGTCACAGCTTAGTTAATACCGCAACCGCACGGAAATTACAGTTAACACTTAACCGATGCTTACCTGAGATAGATGCACGCTTAGTCGACGGAACGCCACTAGCCATACGGGAAAAGGTGGAGCGAGTAAAAGTCCGCTGCGGAGGAAACTTCGGGTTTACACAGGAAATGCTCGCAACGACACTGGATGGGCACGACATTTTACTGGGACGTGATTGGCTGCGACGGTATAACCCGCGAATTGACTGGACGACGGGTAGCTGCACAGTGCGAAATAGTGGTAACTGGGTCGTCCTACCTCGCTGGCAGCCACCCGAGTCTTCGACGGTCCAGGTCAACGCCATCACGATGAAACGGGCTGTCGCTGCTGGAGCTGACGTGTACGCAGTGGACATAGCATTAGTGCAAGAAGAGGAGCTGCCGAGCGATTTTCAGAAACGATTGGCAGCTGTACCACCCGAACTTCAGGCGCTACTGAAACGATTCCCGGGTATCTTTCCGGATGACTTACCACAAGGGCTGCCACCTCAGCGGGCGCATGACCATAGGATCGAGTTAGAACCGGGGGCACAGCCGACTGTACAGCGCCAGTTCAGACTGACACAGCCCGAGCTCGACGAACTAAGGAAGCAGTTAGATTATCTGTTAGAGAAGCAGTTTATCCGACCGAGCTCGTCACCGTTCGCCGCACCGATACTGTTCACACCGAAAAAAGACGGAGGTTTTTGGCATGTGCATCGACTACCGAGCGCTTAACAGGGTAACAGTCAAATCACGGTACCCCATCCCCCGCGCCGACGAACTGATCGATCAGTTACGAACCGCACGGGTATTTTCGAAAATAGACTTACGAGGAGGTTACCATCAGATTCGGGTCGAACCATCGGACTGCGCCAAGACAGCATTTAGAACTAGGTACGGGTCTTTCGAGTATACGGTGATGCCTTTCGGGCTGACCAACGCGCCCGCCACATTTCAAATGACCATGAACGAAGCGTTTAGGCCACTTTTAGATAAATGCGTGATAGTTTACCTTGACGACATTCTCGTTTACATTCGGGACAAGCAGCAGCACTTAGTCGATCTCGAAGCAGTTTTTAACATTTTAGCGGAACATCGGTTACTCACCAAGGGCTCCAAGTGCGAGTTTTTTCGGGACAGGATAGAATTTTTAGGACACGTTATTTCGGAGGCTGGAGTTGAAATCGACCCTAAGAAGCTGGACACTGTCAACGCGTGGCGTCCCCCGACGAACATCACGGAACTGCAGAGTTTTTTAGGGTTCGATAATTACTTCCGTCGGTTCGTCCCCGACATGGCACGCTTAACAGCCCCACTCACAGATTTACTGCGTAAGGGGGTCGTTTTTACGTGGGGGGAGAAAGAGCATGCTGCCTTCTCTGCCCTGAAAACTGTTCTCTGTTCACCACCCGTCCTACGCATCGCTGACCCACATCGCCCCTTCGAGGTTGTTACAGACGCGAGCGACATCGCCATCGGAGCCGTACTGTTACAGGACTTCGGCAACGGCCTCCAACCCATCGCCTACGAATCACGCAAACTGCATCCGCCTGAGCGAAATTACCCGATACACGACCGCGAAATGCTCGCGATCGTGCATGCATTCAAAGTGTGGCGCTGCTACTTTACCGGCGCAGACGTGACAGTACGGACAGACCATCGATCCCTACAGTACCTCCGTGCACAGCCCCACCTCAACCCACGACAGATTCGGTGGCTCGACTTCCTCGAGTCGAACTTCCATTATACGGTCACCTATAAAAAAGGAGCCTCCAAATCGCCGACGCACTGACCCGCCCCACTGCCCAGATCCATGCGATACTACTCGCCCAGACCAGCCCGCTACTGACAGGACTATTTACCCACGGATATCAAACAGGCCCATTCTTCACAGGAGGAAACTCGCAGCAGCCAAGGGAGTCTATTACGTAAAAGCTGGAACCGACCGCATCTGGGTACCAGGGTACACACTACTACGGGAACTACTATTACAGGAGGCACACGACGGAGTTACCTCGGGACATTTCGGAGTAGAGAAAACACGGCAGCAGCTGCAGCGGTACTATTACTGGCCTGAAATGTTGACCGACGTGCAACGACACGTGGCATCGTGTCCCACTTGCCAGCTCATGAAGTCGACCAGGAAGCGGCCGGCGGGACAATTACAACCAATCCCACCTCCAGAGCGTGCTTGGCAACAAGTGACGATGGACTTCGTCACGGGGTTACCAGCCGGGGCGAGTGGGAATGACACGATCCTGGTCGTCGTCGATCGACTGACGAAAATGGCACACTTCGCAGCGTGCAAGAAAACAATCACAGCCGAGGAAACAGCCCGACTCTTCATCACCACCGTCGTTCGACTGCACGGGATACCAGCATCGATCATCAGCGACAGAGACACGAAGTTTACCAGCAATTTCTGGCGGAACCTGTGGCAGCAGTTCGGCACGCGACTACAATTCAGTTCATCGTATCACCCCGAAACCGACGGACAGACAGAACGGACAAACCAGACCATGGAGCAGCTCATTAGGGCCACGTGCGACGACCCAAACACGTGGGAGCAGCAGCTGCCACTCATCGAATTCGCATACAACAACGCGCCATCTGCCACGACCCAACAGTCGCCGTTTTACCTGAATTACGGACAAGACCCAACAGTACCCATGACCCCAAATCCCGACAACCCCGTTCCACGTGCGCAAAAATTTGCCGAGATTTTGCAAGCAGCACGGACCAGGGCAGCAGAAGCAATCAAAAAATCGAACATCATCGCTAAACGCAACACCGACCGCCACCGCAGACCTGTCACTTATCAGCCCGACGACCTCGTTTTACTCGACACTCAAAACCTCCGCCTGCCCATCACTCCAAAACTCCGCCCCCGATACTGTGGGCCATTTCGAATTAGCCACATGATCACACCTGTCACCGCGCACCTCCTCCTCCCTGCTGACTGGTACGTTTGCTCCTCGTTCCACGTCAGCTTGCTTCGCCCTTACGTACCATCCACCGGCCAACTCCCACGACACCGACCATCCAGCATGGAACGACCACCATCCGAACCAATCATCACCCCCGACAAAATCCTGAGTCACAGAGTTCGCGACCCCCGAGGAGCCCGAAAGATCGAGTTCCTGATCCACTGGAAAGACCGTACACCTACCGAGGACAACTGGGTTCCCCTGGACAGAATTGAAAACCACCCTGTCCTCACCGAATATCTGCGCAGCCGAAACTTCAAAGATTTCCACACACTTTCGTAAGAAGGACCTCCTTAGGAGGAGGGGGGTAGTGTAAGGAAAATCCCTTTTCCTTACTTCGCATCCCTGCTCAACGCGTACATCACTGTAGCACCTCAGTCAGCACCGTTACTGTCAGAACATATAGCTTACTTGTTTCTGTAGGCTATAGTGGGGTATCCCATAGGGGGTACAACACAATTAGGGTTTCCTATTTGTATTCACTTCAGTTCATAGTCATTCATTCTCGTTCTTTGATTTCACATGGAATCAGAGCAGGTTCCCTCCTAGGGACTGCTTCTAGGGCCCACCGAACCGCGCCCCGAGGCGCGTTTTTTTTTTAGCGACCCGTCGTGTCGCCCCTAGCGGCCCGTTGCGCCGCCCTTCCCCTAGCGGCTCCGCCGCCCTTCCCTAGCGGCCCCGCCGCCCTTCGATCGCGGCCCCGCCGCCCTCTGCTACGCGGCCCCGCCGCCCCCCCTTCGATCGCGGCCCCCCCCCCGCCCTTCGATCGCGGCCCCGCCGCCCTCTGCTACGCGGCCCCGCCGCCCTCTGCTACGCGGCCCCGCCGCCCTCTGCTACGCGGCCCCGCCGCCCTCTGCTACGCGGCCCCGCCGCCCTCCACTACGCGGCTCTGCCGCCCTCTGCTACGCGGCCCCGCCGCCCTTCGATCGCGGCCCCGCCGCCCTCTGCTACGCGGCCTCGCCGCCCTCTGCTACGCGGCCCCGCCGCCCTCTGCTACGCGGCCCCGCCGCCCTCTTCGGTCGCGGCCCCGCCGCCCTTCGATCGCGGCCCCGCCGCCCTCTGCTACGCGGCCCCGCCACCCTCTGCTACGCGGCACCGCCGCCTTCTGCTACGCGGCCCCGCCGAGCCGCCCAGCAGCAGCCGAGCCGCCCACCAGCAGCCGGGCCGCCGCCGCTGCCGCCGAGCCGCCGCCACCTGCGCCGCCGCCGAGCCGCCGCCGCCTGAGCCGCCGCCCGGGCCACCTGAGCCGCCGCCCGAGCCGCCGCCGAGCCGCCGCTGAGCTGCAGCCGAGCCGCCGCCCGAGCCGCCCGAGCCGCCCGAGCCGCCCGAGCCGCCCGAGCCGCCCGAGCCGCCCGAGCCGCCTGAGGAGCCGTGCTGCTGTTCCTGAGCTGTGTTCCTCTGCTGCTGACCTACCCGACTCTCCCAGCCCGGTGAGACTTTCAGCTGCTGCCATGGCCACCCCCAATGTTCTTACTTTTGACGCTGAGGGGAGGGCCATTGACTTTGCCGTCTGGATTGAAGACCTGCAGCTGTACTTGCTGTGTGATGCGATAGATGAGGTCTCTCTCTTTGACTTTGTCTCTGGCGCTGTCCCTGCCCCTCCTGCTGATGCTGACTCTGCCGTTCGCTCCAAGTGGGCGACCCGCGATGCTGCTGCACGTCTTGCTGTGCGTCGCCACCTCCCTTCCTCTGAGCGTGCCCACTTTAGTCAGTGCAAGACCGCTCAGGCCTTGTACGACGCTGTAGTTGCACGCTACTCCTCCCCTTCCTCCGCTACCCTTAGCCGCCTCATGCTACCGTTTCTCTTCCCTGACCTCGCTTCCTTTCCCACTGTCGCTGACCTCGTTACCCACCTCCGTGCTAGTGACACCCGCTACCGCGCTGCCCTTCCTGCTGAGTTCCGCGCTGCGAACCCTCCTCCCATGTACATCACTCTCTACTTTCTCGTCACCCGTCTCCCTGAGTCCCTTCGTGTCGTTAGGGACCAGTTTCTCTCTGTCTGTCCCACCACTCTCACTGTCGACCTCCTTGAGGAGTCCCTGCTAGCGGCTGAGAAGATTATTGTCGCTGTAGGGGCCTCTCGGGGTGACCCTCGCACCCCCATCTTTGAGGGGTGTGGTCCTTCCCCCCTGCTGCCCTCTGTCGCCTCTGCCGCTGCGGCCGACCTCACTGGTTTTGAGTCGGTCGGCGCGGCGTCTGCCCCCAGCGGCAGACGCCGCTCTGGCAAGGGCAAGGGGGGCAAGGGAGCGGGTGGAGCTAGAGGGGGCGGTGGAGGAGGCGGTGGGGGTGGCGGGGGGAGTGGGGGTGGCGGTGGGGGTGGTGGCGGGAGTGGAGGTACTGGTAGCGGCGGTGGAGGCGGAGGTGGCGGCGGAGGTGGTAGCGGAGGAGGCGGTGGGAGCGGTGGGAGCGACGGTCCTGGTGGGGGAGGTGGCGGTGGAGACGGGGGTGGCGGTGGAGGCGGGGGTGGCGGTGGAGGCGGGGGTCGGAGTAGCTCGTCCCAGCGGAGCAGCTCTGGGGGTGGTCAGCGCCAGCAACAGCAGCAGCAGCAGCCGCAGCAGCAGCCACAGCAGCAGCAGCGCTCTCGCACCGTCCCCGCCCCTCAGCAGCTCCGTGAGTGGTACTTGCAGCGTCAGCGTGGTGGTGCGCTTGGTCCCTGCCCCTACGTTCTTCGCACCGGTGACCGTGCAGGGGAGAGGTGTGGAGGCGCCCACACAGCCCGCCGCTGCTTTGGCCGCCTGACTGACGCCTGGCGTCAGCAGTTTCCGGAGGCCGCTGAGATCCCCCGCTGGGGGGAGCTGTCTAGGGCTGGTGTAGCTATTTATGATCTTGATTTTGATGCTATTCTCTCTGCTATGTATGCTGTGGTTAGTGATGAGGATGACTGTTACCGGTGTTTCCCGCCCGACCCGGGCATTGGTACTGCCGCGTCAGGTACTAGTGAGGCTGCTGCTCTAGGTGCCAGTGCGTCTGTGCTCTCAGGTGCTGGTGAGTCTGCCCTCTCAGGTACTGTGTCGGCTTCGGCCTCTCACACCTTCACCCTTGACTCTGGAGCGTCTCGCTCCTTCTTTAGGGACCGCACCACTCTCACGCCGCTGAGTCGGCCGGTTGCGGTGTCCCTGGCTGACCCCTCTGGGGGGCCTGTCCTGTCTCGCTTCTCCACTGTCCTCCCGTGTCCGGCGGCCCCCTCTGGCACCCTGACTGGTCTCTACCTCCCCTCGTTCTCGACGAACTTGGTGAGTGGTGCTGACCTCCAGGATGCGGGTGTCCACCAGTTCACCCCTGCTCGTCAGCGGGTGACTCACTGCACGGAGGCGGATACAGGTCGCCACCTGGCTACGTTTACACGTCGGCCAGGGTCGAGCCTGTACACACTGACCACTGCTTCTCCTCCAGGTGCTGAGTCTGGTAGGGTCCCTTCGTCTGGTCAGGTGTTTGCTGCAGCGTCCAGGTCTGGTCCTGAGTCTGCCCCCTGCTCGTGTCGTCGTCTGTCTCACGAGACCCTCCTTTGGCACCACCGCCTTGGCCACCCCTCTCTGCCTCGGCTCAGAGGCATGGCCTCGCGAGTCCTTGTGTCTGGTCTTCCCCGGTCTCTCCCTCCCCTTCCTCCGGGCCCTGGCCCTACCTGTGTCCCCTGTGTCGAGGGGCGCCAGCGTGCTGCCCCTCACTCCTCCTAGTTTCCTCCGACAGAGGCCCCGTTGCAGACGCTTCACATGGACGTGTGGGGCCCAGCCCGCGTCCGTGGACAGGGTCTGGAGCGCTACTTCCTGCTGGTGGTTGACGACTACTCGCGTTACACCACAGTCTTCCCCTTGCGCAGCAAGGGTGAGGTCACTGAGGTGTTGATCGACTGGATCCGCGCAGCTCGTCTCCAGCTTCGGAGGAGCTTTGGCTCTGACTTCCCTGTTTTGCGTCTGCACTCGGACAGAGGCGGAGAGTTCTCCTCTGGCCTCCTGAGTGCCTACTGTCGTGCGCGAGGCATCCGTCAGACCTTCACGCTTCCGGACTCACCACAGCAGAATGGGATTGCTGAGCGCCGCATTGGCATGGTCATGGACGTCGCTCGTACGTCCATGATGCATGCGGCTGCTCCCCATTTTCTGTGGCCGTTTGCGGTCAGGTACGCTGCGCACCAGATCAACCTCCACCCCAGGGTCTCTCGACCGGAGACCTCCCCAGCCCTGCTGTGGACGGGGAAGGTTGGCGATGCGTCGGCGTTCCGGGTCTGGGGATCTCGGGCGTTTGTTCGCGACCTGTCTGCGGACAAGCTGTCCCCTCGTGCTTCTCCCTGCGTCTTCCTGGGGTTCCCCCCCGACGCCCCTGGGTGGCAGTTTTACCACCCCACCTCTCGACGTGTTCTGTCCTCCCAGGACGTCACGTTCGACGAGTCGGTACCCTACTACCGCCTCTTCCCCTACCGCACTCCGTCCCTCCCCCCACCCCCGCTCTTCTTGGTACCAGGTCCCCCCCCGGTAGTCCCCCTCCCCCCTCAGGGTCCTGCCCCTTCAGGTGTGTCCCAGGTAGACGCGGTCGAGCCTGTCGAGGTCACTGGTGACTCTGGTGCTGCTGCGGGAGCTGAGCCTGGGGGTGCGGAGTCTGGGGGTGCTGAGCCTGGGGGTGCTGAGCCTGGGGGTGCTGAGCCTGGAGGTGCCGAGCCTGGGGGTGCTGTGCCTGGGGGTGCTGTGCCTAGGGGTGCTGAGCCTGGGGGTGCTGCGCCTGGGGGTGCTGTGCCTGGGGGTGCTGAGCCAGGAGGTGCCGAGCCTGGGGGTGCTGTGTCTGGGGGTGCTGTGCCTAGGGGTGCTGAGCCTGGGGGTGCTGAGCCTGGGGGTGCTGTGCCTGGGGGTGCTTCGTCTCGCCGGGAGCCACTCTCCCCACAGGAGCTGCGTGAGTGGTTTGCCAGGCGCTGGAGGCGTGCTGCTGGTGCTGGTGGTTCTTCGGCTGCAGAGGGTACTGCTGCCGCGCGTCCCGCCGGTGCTCGTACTGTGGGTGCTGGAGCTGCTGGGTATGAGAGTTCTCCTGGAGCTGGTACTGCTGAGGGTGTTGGCGCTGAGCCTGCCGTTGGCGGTCCGACTGACAGTGCTCCTGGTGCTGCTGCTAGAGGTTCTGGAGCTTCTGGTGGTGCTGCTAGAGGTGCTGCTGGAGTGGGTGCTCCTGCCGGGGCTGCTGGTGCTGTTCCTGCTGTTTCTAGTGTCGCCGCGCGGCCCCGACCGTACTTCGTTCCGCTCCTGCAGCAGGTTCTTGGTCTTACACCTCCTCCTCCTCCTCCCTTAGAGGGTCCGCAGCCTGTCCGGTCACAGCCACAGCTACAGCCTGCCTCCCCTTTGCCAGCTCCTTCTCCCTACGCTGGTCCGACTGGAGGTCTTACTGAGCGTCGTGAGCCTGCGTCTCGTCCTGTGTCGCCTGTTCGTACTGAGCGCGCTAGTGGTCGCGGGTCGCGTCAGCGTCCTCCTCCTGTCCCTGGCACGCACCGGATGTCACTGCGTCCGTCCACTGCTCCTCTGCGTGCCCCTTTGCCTTCTCCTCCTGCTTCCTCTCTTCCTGCTCTTGCCGACCCGGAGTCGGACTCTCTTCGTGCTGCCAGTCCTACTGTCACGCGTCTCCTTGCTACTGCTGTCACTGACCCTTCCTTCGAGTCGTCTGCTGCGTCTGCCCTTGTCACTGAGCTTGTCGACTTTGCTGCGCGCTGTCGTCTAGACTACGCTGCTCGTCTTGTCACTGAGTCTGAGTCCGCCTGTCCTCCGTCCGTCGGGGGTGAGTGTGCCCTTGGCACGGACGTCCTAGAGGACAGGCAGGAGGAGTTCCAGTGTCTGGCCGCCGCTTCACCTCGTCTCGCGTCTGTACTGCTAGCCCCTGAGGGAGACCCGGATGCACCAGACATCCCGACTCCGCGCTCTTACGCGGAGGCGATAGAGGGTCCCTACTCCTCTCAGTGGCAGGCAGCTATGGATGCAGAGATGGCTTCCTGGAAGTCCACAGGCACCTACGTTGACGCTGTTCCCCCTCCTGGGGCGAACATCGTCAGTGGCATGTGGATTTTCAGGGTGAAGCGGCCGCCGGGTTCTCCGCCTGTCTTCAAGGCGCGTTACGTGGCTCGTGGCTTCAGTCAGCGGCAGGGGGTTGACTACTTTCAGACCTTCTCCCCCACCCCGAAGATGACCACTCTTCGGGTCCTGCTGCACGTTGCTGCTCACCGTGACTACGAGCTGCACTCTCTCGACTTCAGCACAGCTTTCTTGCAGGGCAGCCTGCACGAGGAGATCTGGCTGCGTCGCCCACCTGGCTTCACTGGGTCTTTCCCTCCTGGTACCCAGTGGAGTCTCCGGCGTCCAGTCTACGGTCTCCGCCAGGCGCCACGTGAGTGGCACGACACACTGAGGACTACGCTCGCGGCACTTGGGTTTGCTCCTTCTACTGCCGACCCGTCGCTGTTTCTGCGCACCGACACCTCTCTGCCGCCGTTCTACATCCTCGTGTACGTCGACGACTTGGTCTTTGCCACAGCTGACACTGCTGGACTCGCCTACGTGAAGTCCGAGCTGCAGAAGAGACACACGTGCACTGACCTGGGTGAACTGCGCAGCTACCTTGGCTTGCAGATCACCCGGGACAGAGCACGCCGCACCATTACCCTGACTCAGTCACACATGGTGCAGCAGGTCCTTCAGCGCTTCGGCTTCACGTAGTCCTCGCCTCAGGCCACTCCTTTGCCTACTCGCCACTCGCTCTCAGCTCTGCCTTCGGATGAGTCCGTAGAGTCGAGTGGCCCGTTTGCAGAGCTTGTTGGCTGCCTCATGTACCTGATGACCTGCACACGACCTGACCTCGCATACCCTCTTAGCATTCTCGCACGCTTTGTTGCTCCTGGGAGACACCGACCAGAGCACATGGCTGCAGCGAAGAGGGTGTTGCGCTACTTGTGCAGTACGTCGGGCATGGGGCTAGTGCTTGGAGGGCGCAGTCCAGTGGTCCTCACTGGGCACGCAGACGCTTCTTGGGCTGACGACCAGGCTACGCAGCGGTCGTCACAGGGTTACACCTTCAGCCTTGGTTCCGGCTCTGTCTCGTGGCGGGCTACCCGCTCGTCTTCTGTTCTCGGCTCGAGTTGTGAGGCTGAGATCTACGCTGGGGCTATGGCTGCACAGGAGTTACGCTGGCTCACCTACCTGCTGACCGACCTTGGAGAGCAGCCTCGTTCTCCTCCAGTCCTGTACGTAGACAACAAGGCCATGCTGGCCTTGTGTCGAGAGCAGCGACTGGAGCACAGAACGAAGCACATTGCTCTCCGCTACTTTCTTGCTCGTGAGCTACAGCAGCGTGGACAGTTGCGACTTGCGTACGTGGCCTCTGAGGCCAACACTGCTGATGTCTTCACCAAGGCACTTGCGCCTTGTGATCATCAGCGTTGTTGCACGCAGTTGGGTCTTGTGCCTGTCTTGCCTCACTTGCTCTCCTCTTGACCTTGCTTGTACCTTCGCCTATATATACTCTTGCTCTTGCTTGCTTGACTCTTGTATATCTCTATATATGATCTTGCATGTGAACTGGCCTTCTGGCCTTTGAACTTGTGCTCGGAATGCGTGGTGACTTTGTGATCCACCCTGAGCTTTGCTTTGCTTTACTTGACTGGTCTTGTGACCCCTTGTTCTCCCCCACTTTGCCTATGGGGGTGTGTCAGAACATATAGCTTACTTGTTTCTGTAGGCTATAGTGGGGTATCCCATAGGGGGTACAACACAATTAGGGTTTCCTATTTGTATTCACTTCAGTTCATAGTCATTCATTCTCGTTCTTTGATTTCACAGTTACCACTCGCGATCATCGCATCGACAATCATCCCGCCATTTTTCGCACATCGCATCCCGACCTCACGGCTCGGCTGGTAACCCGCGCTCCGGGCCTACGCCTCGACACTTTCCCAACCTCAGTCCCAGGCCCGTCGCGCGACTACGACAGACCATTACCGTTACCACTGTAGTTTCGCTATATATTCTTCGCTCACGCCCTCGCTCATTGTATTCTTGCTTCGATAGTGCAATTCTCGTTCATTCACTCAATTGCACTCGTAACAATGTGAAACAACTACAGGCTGTTTTAAAAATTGTTTTTGACTTATATATCATATAAATGTGCTTTCTGTACATATCTTTAATATGCTTTATAGATTTCTGTTTAATCTATATATTTATAAATTTTAATGTAACTATCAGCAATATAGTGCCTTGTGTCAGAACATATCTATAGCTTATACTGCTGTGTAGGCTGTAGTGGGGTATCCCATAGGGGGTACAACCCAGTTAGGGTTTCATATTTGTACTGCTTTCATTCATAGTTCATTCATTCCTGTTCATTCCTTTCACATGGTATCAGAGCGGGTTCCCTGTGGGAACTTCGCCTAGGGCCCACCGAAGCGCGCCCCGAGGCGCGCGATCCTTTTTTTTTTAGCGACCCCCCCGAGTCGCCCTTCCCCTGCGGCCCCGCCGCCCTTCGTTCGCGGCCCCGCCGTCCAGTCGCGGCCCCGCCCTTACGTCGCGGCCCCGCCCTTACGTCGCGGCCCCGCCACTTAGTCGCGGCCCCGCCACTAAGACGCGGCCCCGCCACCCAGTCGCGGCCCCGCCGCCTACTCGGACGCGGCCCCGCCGCCTGCTAAGACGCGGCCCCGCCGCCTGCTAAGACGCGGCCCCGCCGCCTGCTAAGACGCGGCCCCGCCGCCTGCTCAGCCGCGGCCCCGCCGCCCTCTACGACGCGGCCTCCGCCGCCTGCAGACGCCGCGGCCTCCGCCGCCTGCTCAGCCGCGACCCCGCCGCCCGCTACGACGCGGCCTCCGCCGCCTGCTCAGCCGCGGCCCCGCCGCCCTCTACGACGCGGCCTCTGCCGCCTGCTCAGCCGCGGCCCTGCCGCCTCCTACGACGCGGCCCCGCAGCCTGCTCAGCCGCGGGTGCTTCCAGCGGCCCTCCGCTGCATCCTGACGGTCCGCCACTGCACCCTGACGGCCCCGCCGTCCCCTGTCTCGGCCCCACCGCTGCACCCTGACGACCCCGCTGTCCCTTGTCCCGGCCCCGCCACTACACTGCAGCCGAGCCGCCCAGCAGCAGCCGAGCCGCCCAACAGCAGCCGAGCCGCCCAGCAGCAGCCGAGCCGCCCAGCAGCAGCCGAGCCGCCCAGCAGCAGCCGAGCCGCCCAGCAGCAGCCGAACCGCCCAGCAGCAGCCGAGCCGCCCAGCAGCAGCCGAGCCGCCCGGTACCTGAGCCGCCCGAGCCGCCCGAGCCGCCCGAGCCGCCCGAGTCGCCCGAGCCGCCCGAGCCGCCCGAGCCGCCCGAGCAGCCCGAGCCGCCTGCTGCTGACCTACCCGACTCTCCCATCCCGGTGAGACTTTCAGCTGCTGCCATGGCCACCCCCAATGTTCTCACTTTTGACGCTGAGGGGAGGGCCATTGACTTTGCCGTCTGGATCGAGGACCTGCAGCTGTACTTACTGTGTGATGCGGTAGATGAGGTCTCTCTCTTTGACTTTGTCTCTGGCGCTGTCCCTGCCCCGCCTGCTGATGCTGACTCTGCCGTTCGCTCCAAGTGGGCGACCCGCGATGCTGCTGCACGTCTTGCTGTGCGTCGCCACCTCCCTTCCTCTGAGCGTGCCCACTTTAGTCAGTGCAAGACCGCTCAGGCCTTGTACGACGCTGTAGTTGCGCGCTACTCCTCCCCTTCCTCCGCTACCCTTAGCCGCCTCATGCTACCGTTTCTCTTCCCTGACCTCGCTTCCTTTCCCACTGTCGCTGACCTCGTTACCCACCTCCGCGCTAGTGACACCCGCTACCGCGCTGCCCTTCCTGCTGAGTTCCGCGCTGCGAACCCTCCTCCCATGTACATCACTCTCTACTTTCTCGTCACCCGTCTCCCTGAGTCCCTTCGTGTCGTTAGGGACCAGTTTCTCTCTGTCTGTCCCACCACTCTCACTGTCGACCTCCTTGAGGAGTCCCTGCTAGCGGCTGAGCAGAGTATTGTCGCTGTAGGGGCCTCTCGGGGTGACCCTCGCACCCCCATCTTTGAGGGGTGTGGTCCCTCCCCCCTGCTGCCCTCTGTCGCCTCTGCCGCTGCGGCCGACCTCGTTGGTTTTGAGTCGGTCGGTGCGGCGTCTGCCCCCAGTGGCAGACGCCGCACTGGCAAGGGCAAGGGGGGCAAGGGAGCGGGTGGAGCCAGAGGGGGCGGTGGAGGAGGCGGTGGGGGGTGGAGGGGGGAGTGGGGGTGGCGGGGGGGGTGGTGGCGGGAGTGGAGGTAGTAGTGGCGGCGGTGGAGGCGGAGGTGGCGGCGGAGGTGGTAGCGGAGGAGGCGGTGGGAGCGGTGGGAGCGACGGTCCTGGTGGGGGAGGTGGCGGTGGCGACGGGGGTGGCGGTGGAGGCGGGGGTGGCGGTGGAGGAGGGGGTCGGAGTGGCTCGTCCCAGCGGAGCAGCTCTGGGGGTGGTCAGCGCCAGCAGCAGCAGCAGCAGCAGCCGCAGCAGCAGCCGCAGCAGCAGCAGCGCTCTCGCACCGTCCCCGGCCCTCAGCAGCTCCGTGAGTGGTACTTGCAGCGTCAGCGCGGTGGTGCGCTTGGTCCCTGCCCCTACGTTCTTCGCACTGGTGACCGTGCAGGGGAGAGGTGTGGAGGCGCCCACACAGCCCGTCGCTGCTTTGGCCGCCTGACCGACGCCTGGCGTCAGCAGTTTCCGGAGGCCGCTGAGATCCCCCGCTGGGGAGAGCTGTCTAGGGCTGGTGTAGCTATTTATGATCTTGATTTTGATGCTATTCTCTCTGCTATGTATGCTGTGACTGGTAGTGATGAGGATGACTGTTACCGGTGTTTCCCGCCCGACCCGGGCATTGGTACTGCCGCGTCAGGTACTAGTGAGGCTGCTGCTCTAGGTGCCAGTGCGTCTGTGCTTTCAGGTACTGGTGAGTCCGCCCTCTCAGGTACTGTGTCGGCTTCAACCTCTCACACCTTCACCCTTGACTCTGGAGCGTCTCGCTCCTTCTTTAGGGACCGCACCACTCTCACGCCGCTGAGTCGGCCTGTTGCGGTGTCCCTGGCGGACCCCTCTGGGGGGCCTGTCCTGTCTCGCTTCTCCACTGTCCTCCCGTGTCCGGCGGCCCCCTCTGGCACCCTGACTGGTCTCTACCTCCCCTCGTTCTCGACGAACTTGGTGAGTGGTGCTGACCTCCAGGATGCAGGTGTCCACCAGTTCACCCCTGCTCGTCAGCGGGTGACCCACTGTACGGAGGCGGATACAGGTCGCCACCTGGCTACGTTTACACGTCGGCCGGGGTCGAGCCTGTACACACTGACCACTGCTTCTCCTCCAGGTACTGCGTCTGGTAGGGCCCCTTCGTCTGGTCAGGTGTTTGCTGCAGCGTCCAGGTCTGGTCCTGAGTCTGCCCCTTGTTCGTGTCGTCGTCTGTCTCACGAGACCCTCCTCTGGCACCACCGCCTTGGCCACCCCTCTCTGCTTCGGCTCAGAGGCATGGCCTCCCGTCTTCTTGTGTCTGGACTCCCCCGGTCCCTCCCTCCCCTTCCTCAGGGCCCTGGCCCTGCCTGTGTCCCCTGTGTCGAGGGGCGCCAGCGTGCTGCCCCTCACTCCTCCCAGTTTCCTCCGACAGAGGCCCCGTTGCAGACGCTTCACATGGACGTGTGGGGCCCAGCCCGCGTCCGTGGACAG